TTGTGCAGATTTCAAATTGATAATAATAGAGGTAAATTAAGCTATTGAGAAATCATTACAACATATGCATTGCTTTCTTCTTAAATAATATGGAATAATGAATTTTTAAGATGAATAATTTAATTTATGTTTAATTTGAGTTATATTCTTGAACAATTCATTTTTCTTTTTCTTCTTATATAAATCATAAATACTTATAATTTTTTGAGCAACTGTTTAGATATAAGGGTATTTCTTATTATTGTAATTAGATTTTTTTGATTTATATTTTTAGTAATAATTATTATTCTTTTTGTTATTAATAGATAAAATTAGATACAGGATAAGTCGAGTATTTGAGATTTTACATTCATAAGTAAAACTAAGTATTACCCTTCTAATTTAGGACCATGTCTCCAAAGGATAGTTAAATATTTGGGTGGACATACCTACATGTTTGTGAGAACCTAAAAAAGATAAATACATAAGGAGTTGACTGATATGCTAAGAACTATAACTTCTCCTTATTGCTGTGTGATACCCAATAAAATAAATATTATGAATATTTTTTTAAAAATAATGGCTGGATGAATTTCATCAAACGTGCTAATACCCTCCCATTGTTTATTTCCTTTTAAAAAAATAGGATTATCTTATTAACAACTTAAAGCATAGAAGATTACTTTAAGATGAGAATAAATTTTTTATGCATCGCAATTCAAATAACAAAAATGAATTGACATTTACTAAAAAAAGGGATGCCTATTCAAATAAATGGTAGAAAGTAGGAAAATTAATAGAAACTAAATCAGATACAGTATAAGAGGTGTAATAATCAATAAAGGAATAAAGTCAGATTTAACATGTAATCCATTTAAGCAAAGGAAATGAATTATGAAGTCTAAAAAGCCAAAATATAATGGTAAATAGAAGGGGTAATAGAAGGAACACTTGGCAGATAGACTGTAGACTTTATAATGGATGTAATCGATGCATAAAAATTAGGCAAAGGTTTATTTGTTTCTGCTTCTATTTAAGGGGTTTGTATACTTAAAGTGTAGAGTGATGTTTATTAAATAGGCAATAAAATCTTTTGGAAGAGCAATTTCATATTGTTGGAATTGGATTAACTGCATTTATGAAAAGCATTTCAGTTGGAGGAGTGATCTTGTCTGATTGCTTGTCTTAAAGTGAGAAAGTATATAATTTTTATTGCAGTGAAAACTGGAAGTGCTATAGGATTAGGTAATGTGGAATGGAATTAGGTGCTGCAGGTGGTCCAATTGGAGTTGTGATAGGTGAAATCATTGGAGGTTTCATTGGAGAAGTGAGTGGTAATTTATTGGGAAAAGCTATTGATCATTTTACTTAGTTTAATTTACAAATTGATTTTAATTAGAATAAAAAATCTAAAGTTGAGGACGGTTATTTAGCCTATCTAGGTACACCCCTCAAGATAAGTTGGAAATATGTCAAGGATAATATAAAGAGTCTAATTCTAATGGCATAAACTGACACTCATATGGCTTTTTTAAGATATTGGGATTTAATTTAATGAATATAAAGAAAAAGGCCCTGATGATTCTTGCAAAAGTATTACGTTTAAACTCCTTGCAATTCCAGACGAATATGTTAACGATGATGAAATATTGTAGCAATTCTTCTCTCATGAAACAAACATTATTGATATTGTTAAAGTCAAAATTAGCTTAGAAAATATTAAATAATTATGATTTACAATTAAATAAGAATTATATTATTATTATTTATATTATAGATATAATTGGATAAAAATATTATCATTATTATTGGATCATGTATATCATTTGAAATATGAATAAATGAAAATTATTAATACTATCATTTAGACTCTTGCTTTTTTTTGTTATTCTCTTAAATCCCTTTTTAGTACAATTTTTCCCATTCCAAAATGGTTTTATCTAAATTATTTACACAAATTTTAACTATTCCCTTTCCAAATATATACATCTAATAATATAATTGTATAACAACCATCTTTAGAAATCCCATTTCATTTTTTGATATAACATGCAACTATACAATTGTCCAATAATTTATAATTTGTCTAAATCTTTCATAAATGGCTATACTGCAAGATCGATAAAAATATCATATGCATTTTAGTAAATTTGAAATTCAGATATTGTGTATATTTGGAATTGATTATAATAGAGGTAAAATATGCTATTTACAATTCTTTTCAACATTAGCATTGCTTGATTTTTTAATAGGTTATCTTTATTTTTATATGAATATTGTAATTTATACATTTTTTTAGTTCAATAATTGATATATTCATTCCTCTTTTTTATCATCTTGGCATGATTAATGGTTTGATTTTCTTTCTTTTTTTATATTTAGCTAGTTTTATAGATTTCTTATTCAATTAATCTAATATTGGAGGGGGTTAATTCTATAATAGAGATGAATAATTAAATCATTTAAACATTATTTATTTGGATATGTATAACAATAAAAATAATTATTTCCTTTTTTATTATTTTTCTTCTTCAATTTGCTTAAATAGACTTGCTTTTGAATTATTTAATATATAATTTCTTAAAAAATTAATTTAAATGTAAAATTTAACTGATTGATGTATTATGAAGTAATGAGGTATATTTTTTGTTGTCTAGATATTAATTAATTTCGTTAAATCATCTTGAAGGGAAATG